AAAAATATTGAAAAAAGAAAACTTTTTTCTTGTTATTTTTGTTGTTGTTAAAATATCATCTTGATACGAAAAAAAAAATTTCTTCATACAAAAAAAAAAAGGTTGAATCAAAAGCAAATTTTTCTTAAAAAAAAAACTTCGAATTTATAATCCGGAAGTTATTTTTTGGTGCAGGGCGTATAAGATTAACGCCCCTGGAAAGGCGTGGGCCCATTTTGTGTCCTTGGAAGGGGCGTGAATCGGTTTAGTGGACTTTCAGGCAGAATTTTACTGCCCTTCCGTAGGCATTACCTCATTACCTCATTACGCCCTCGAAGCGGGCGTCAAAGACTGTTACGCCCTCAGGGGCGTGGATTTTATGCCTTTGTTTTACCAGTGTATACCCGCGCCACGAGAAGTCGCGATGGTTATCGTAACGATGCACGCCACTGCAAGCCTCGTCGCTTTGACAGGTCATTGGCACCGATATGACGTTTTGACACGCATTACCGTCGCATTACCTGTCTCGGCCCTCGTCCGCTCCCTTCTGCAGGATTGATTCCAAGAGTCGTTTCCGTCGCTCTGTCTCTCTCGCACCTACTCGGGACGCCCCATGAGTGCGAGAGAGACAGAGCGATGACCAGCGACATCTTTCCTTTCCGAGTTTCCCGGCGCCCTTTCCCAGAGGTGCGCGTGCGACACGAGATCGCCGGTCGCTCCCAGCGGGCTGCTTCCGAAACCGAGTCTCGTCTCTCTCTCTCTCTTTCTCTCTCTCTTCTCCTCTCTCTCCCCTCTCCCCCCCTTCCCCTCCCTCTCTCTCTCTCTCTCTCTCTCTCTCACCCTTCGACACGCCCCGTGAGTGCGAGAAAGACGGGAAGCAATGTCGAAAGACACACTGAGAAAACCTTACAAACTATTTTGGGCCTTACAAAGAAAAGTAGTTTGTATAACAAAGTATTTTGGCATACGTAAGCTTACAAAGAAAATACTTCGTAATTTTCAAACTATTTTTTCGTATAACAAAGTATTTTAGTTTGTTATATGTATGCTCAAAATACTTCGTAAGGTTTTAAGAGTGCACACCAACCAGCGTCGGCCACACGAGCCGGACAAAACTAGAACCGGAGAAGTCAGGCAACCCGCCTCGCTTCGCAGAAATACACTCGTCGCTCTGTCTCTCTCGCACTCATGGGACGTTGCACGAGGAGAGAGAGAGAGAAGAGAGAGAGAGGGGAGAGAGAGAGAGAGAGAGAGAGAGACGGGGCGATCGCTCTATATAGCGAGCAAGCAGGGCGAAGCAGGGGCCGGCGGCCACGATATTAGTGTCCGGGAGAGGCGTCCTCCTGGAGAGCTATAAATAACGCGAATCTAGACAGCGCGCACGACGAGATGGTGCGTGGCGAGACGGGGCGGGGCGGGGCGGGGCGGGGCGGGGCAGGGCGAGGCGGGGCGGGGCGGGGCGGGGGGCGGGGGGGTAGGGCGTACCCGGCCGGGGCGTGGGGGGGCCGGGGCCCCTCTTCGGATTCATTTCATCAAGACCCCGCGCACCTGTCCGCCCTCGCGTGACACACGAGACTGGCGGGGTCGTCGCGGCTTCCACTGAAACCGGGCCTCCAGTCCCCACCAAGTGGGCCAGAAGACCGGTGCCGGCGGCCAAAACTCCAGACGCGTTTTGAGCTCCAGAGTCGCAAAATGGGACCCGCACCGAACGTGTGACCCCTTGTGTGACCCCACCAATGGATTGCTCTCCGAACGAGGAATCCATTGGTGGGGTCACACGCTCGGTTCGAGTCCTGCACAGCGACTCTGGAGCTCAAAACGCGTCCGAGATTTCGACCGCCACTGCCAGTCTTCTGGCCCACTGTCGGGCGCCAGTCGCGGCGGGTGCCCGTGGTGCGGCGGTGCCGCTCCGCCAAATATTTCCGCACCGCGCTCTTTGGTCCGCGGTCCGCGCGGCGTCGCCTGAGCCCGCAAAGAGTCACTCTCAGTCGCTCCGTCTCTCTCGCACTCACGGGGCGCCCCGCACAGGTGCGAGAGAGAGACGGAGGCGGCACGGAGCGCCGTTCTTTTCTTCCAGTGCCGCGACGCCGCGCTCCAGCAGGAGTACCGTGACGGACGCGCCGCGCTTCGCACGGGCTGTGGCGCCGGAGCGTGGCGGAGCGTGGCGGAGCGTGGCGCCGGAGAGAGAGAGAGAGGAGAGGAGAGAGAGGGGGGGGGGGAAGGGGGCAAGACCGGGTTCCGTGACCGCGTGCACAGTGCAGCTCCGAGGGGCCCTGCGGGGCCGAGGGGCAGGGCCGTGGGAGGGGCCCAGGACACCCGTTGCTGCAGCTGGTGACAGCTCGCGCAGCGCCAGCTGCAGCTGACTGATTCCGAGTCTCGTCGCTCTGTCTCTCTCGCACGCATGCCGCGTCCCGTGCAGGTGCGACAGAGACAGAGCGACGAAAACGACTCTCGCGGAATCAGTCTGCTGCAGCTGGCGGTGGTGCCCCCACTGTGCTGTTGCAACTCCCCCCCCCCCTTTTACCACCCTCCTTGACCTCCTCGGCCGCCCTCTGACTGTTCTTCTAGTGCCTAAATCGCTCCCCGCGCGACGCGCTACCATCTCGGCCAACTACGGCCAACTAGCTGAGGAATTGGTGGGAGGGTTCGGCACGCTGCCAAAAACTATCATCTCTGGAAAAGGGGGAACAATGCTGTGAATACCCGAGCTGACGCACAGTGGGCAGCAGAAGACCCCTTTCAGTCGGCTTAAAACCGGCTAAAACTCTAGACGCGTTTTGGTCCACAGTCGTAACAGCTCGACCAACGTGTGACCCACAATATGTTCCTCTTCGGAGAGCAAATTGGTGGGTCACACGTTTGGTTACATCCCTTCGACTCAGCTACACGATGTTTTGAAAGCCTGCACCGGTCTTCTGGTGTGCGATGCTCACAGCCACACAAATTCGTTTTAACCTCGCTTGGACGAGATCTCCGAAAGTCCGAAAGGGCCTCCCCCCCCCCTCTAATCCCGGACCTTCCCTACCTTTGGGGATCTTCACCAGAACTCCAGAGCGTAAGGCAACACGGCAAGAGTCCTAAATCCCGCTGTCCGCACCCGCAGGGCCCCGGGAGAAGCGGATCCAGAGGGAAAAGGAAGGGGTGGCCCAACGCGGTTAAGGTCCCTCGCTGGGTCGGGAAACCCAAAGGAACCCCCAATTTGGGCCCCTGCAGGGGAGGGAAAAACCCATTAGCCATCTTCACACAAAAAGCATGGATCCGCGGCCTTTAGGACACGTGTTTTGACCGCCCCGGAGGGCGAGTAGAGAGCTCACAGCCACGTCGACTTCTTCTAGCCTCGCTTGCGAGCGAGCCTCTGCCGAAAGTCCGAAGACCTCCTCCCCCCCCCTTTTCCGTTCCCCTTCCGTTCCCTCGAGCTCGCCGCCAGAATGCTCCAGCAGCGTCATAGGCAACACGGCAAGAGTCCTAAATCCCGCTGTCCCGCACCTGCAGGGATCTCACGGCAGGTGCGGATCCAGAGGGAAAAGGGAGAGGGATGGCCCAATGGGGGTAAGGTTCCGCTCGCTGGGTGGACCGCCGGGAAGGTAGGCAAACCTTCCTACTTGGCCCATGCAGATAGGCAAAAGGCGCTACATTACCCCATCTTCGCACAAAAAGCATGGATCCGCGCCTTTTAGGACACGTGGAGAGAGAGAGAGTTTAGTTTTTAAAATTATTTAGAGAGAGAGAGAGAGAGAGAGAGAGAGAGAGAGAGAGAGAGAGAGAGAGAGAGAGAGAGAGAGAGAGAGAGAGAAAGACGACCAAAAGCCCAAAAAGTTGCTGCTGCTCGAAGAAGCTGAAACCGCCTTCCCCTCTCTTCCCGGTCTTCCCCGCCTCTGACGAACGATTCTCCGGATTCAGTCAGAAGAGCGGTTTGCCGCTCTGTCTCTCTCGCTCGCTTACGGAGAGCCCCGTGAGCGCGACAGAGACAGAGCGACGAAACGACTCTTCTGAATCGCTCAGCCGCGCGAACCGCGCCAGAACGCGTTAAATCAAGCAAATCAAGCGTTCCCAATTGGATCCGTCTATGACCCTTGTTAACTGTCGCCTCTGCCTCGCCCCACCCAGTGGCCCCACCGCCACGCATCATGCGTGATGCCCCCCCCCCCCACTTCCGCGTTCCGTCATCGCTCTGTCTCTCTCGCACCCAAAACCCCAATGGGATGGCCCTTGAGAGCGAGAGAGACAGAGCGACGAAAACGACTCTCGGCGGTATCATAGTATGCAGCGGCAACCCCTTTTAGAGAATCCGGTGGCTGCGGGCTGCGGGCACTCCAGGACATACGCTAGAGTCCCTCGTTATGTCGAGATAATGCAGTCGAGGACTGTAGTCTCTTGCAGTGGCCGATCCGAAACCCGCCGAAGCTGAGTGATGACAACTTACAGGGGAAAATTATTGTGACTCGTTCGCTGCTAATCGTTTTGGCGCGCTCCTGTCTGGGGAAGGGAAGAGGGGGGGGGGCGCTTTTCAACCAAAAGTGAAAGTGTCGCTTAGTGTCGAGTTTGTGTCATGTTGACACGGTAATGACTTCCCAGTTCCCGTTCGGCCGTGCCGTCCTGCTAGTCCTGCTAGTACGTACACTCGCAAACGACCAGCCGTGACCCCTACCCGAACCCGCCTGGTCGCCCGGAGCAGTCGCCTTCGGAAGTTTGAAACTGGACAACTTGTCCCAAGACTAACGGGCTTTTCTTTTAGTTCAGTCGGGCTGCCGGTTTATCAAACATTCGCGACAGAGCTGACGTCACTGTTTGACGCAAACTAATTTTCTGACGCGTGGAGCCGCAGCTTACAGTTGAATTCCCCCCAAAAGTCCAAGCGTAATCCAACCGGGTGGATATTTGACACGGGTGTGCCTCCGCTCAAACTAAAAACGAACTGCAAGTGCGCCGGGGTTTGAAATTGCGCGCCACGCGGACGTGGTCGCCGCTGCACTGGAAAGCGACCGCGCCGACCACTTCACTCCCCGCCGTCTGGCAACCTCGCGCCGCCGCGTGGAACGCACCCAGTCTTATTAGAAACAAAATCAAACCATAACAAAGCGAAATGTATGTCGACGGACATGCTTTCGTTTTTAACTTATTTACCTCTATGTTTTAGACACCCTTGTGATTTTAATTATTCCATGAGTCTGTTTTAACGCTTGCTGTAAAAATGAATGCTTCTGAAACGCGTGTACCGAGCTTTACAAATGAAAGTTTCGAGCTTGTTGAGGATGAGGCTGAGCATCCCTTGGGTGAGTTTCGACGCGCGATTTCTTGACCCCAGCTCGCCCGATTTGGTGGAAACGGTTGGAAAAGTGGTGCGGTGATGCTGGGATTTGCCAGTGTGGTGGCAGGGGCCGCGCGCTTTGCCTGCGGTCCGCTTAACCTCTTCGCGTCCCGCCCGACACCCGCCATGGCATCGGTTTCTCTCCGGGCTTGTTTGGTCCGGAACGGGCGCGCTGCTCCCAGGGCCGAACCGCGAGGCGGTCACGCGGCTTGGTCGCATTTGTGTCGTCGCGGTCCTCGGCCGCTTGCTCCTTGCGCCCCGCGAGGGGACTTGCGTGCCGAGGCTGCGTCGCGGCGTTGAGGTTAAATCGATCCGCCGCCATCGCCACTCCACATCCAGTGGCGCCGTCGCCATGCGACTTGACAGCTGTGACGTACGGCCGTACACTGTACTAGTTTCAAGTTGATTGCGACCACTTTGACGCGTTCTGGGTGTTTTTGGAGGGCAGGTGTTTTCTGTCCTGGTTGTAGTTTCTGTGGTGCCGTCTTAAATGTACCTGTCATATTCCGATACCCACTGACATGTGGGAACTGTCTGGTTTCTCGAAACACTCACATCACTCTCTTTGCCGAGTTCCAGTACGATTGGTTGCGCTCCACCTTGTTGTGCCGACACATGTATCATAATGTTTTCTTTTCTTGTGCGCAGGTGTCTCAGCCCTGGTCAGCCGGCTGAATTGTTCGAGTGCTGGCAGTGATGCTGGCAGCCAAGCGAGTCTGGAGGGCCAGAAGAACGGCCCTGCGGAACAGGGTCCGGAGAAGAACTTCCCATGGCTGACTGCTTTCTCTAAACATTGCCGTTCAGCAATTGGCTCCAAGAGTATGAAACAGTTGGATGATCTTCTTGCCATTTACTTAGAGTAAGTAAACATTTATTTTATTCTCATGTACTTTGTGCATTTTGCCTTAAAGATTTGCTACCGGCAATGATCAGGGTAGCTCAAGTTTACTCACTTATTTCAGAAGTCCATCTTGTATTATTCTGCCAAACTCAAAAAGAGTTACGAACATAATACTTTAATGTGTCCTTCAGTTTGACTTTTTCTGGTCTAAAATCCCTAAGTGGTCTCTTAATTTTTTTTGAAAGCATCAATCAAAGTACAAACTGTTTTCCATCCATGAACACTCCTCCTCACAAGTTCTAAACCAATAGCCAACATAAATTATTATTCAAAGTTCAAACCTGTTATTTGTTTAGAGCACAGGTTTTTCTCCCTAATAATAATAATAATAAAAATAATTCTCAAAGAGATGCATGATTATTACAGACATTACAGACTTTGTAGTTAACTTTCACAAGCTAGAGTAAATTATCCACATTGCTCATAGGAAGCTTTTCCAACATGCGGTAGATAAATAGATCTTTGAAAAATTTTAGTTCTGTATCAGTGGAGCTTTTTAGATGGAACATTGCTCTCTCCCCTCTCCTTTCTTTCCCTTTTCAAACCAATTATTTTATCTCAAAATCCTCATTCCTTTCTCTGCGTTATCATATCTACAGCAAGCACCAAACAAAATTCCATGTCAAATTTTTTTCCCATACTAAATTTTTTTTTTTTTTTGTATTTTGTTTCCTTTTTCATTTTTTTTTTACTGTAAGTTCTGTAGTAGATACTGTTCATCAAAATGTTAGGTCCTCTCATTGTCTTTGGAAATGCTTGTACAATGACATTAAGCAAAGCTTAGCCATGTACAACATTTTCCTGGAGTGGACTTGAAAGTTTGAGAATTTTGATTTATGAATGCTCTCAAACTATCATGTCATACTCTGTGCTCACAGGCATGTGACGGCACACTACCTGGACTGCCACAAGCTGCCCAACAAAGCCGCCAAGTTGAAGCGGAACATCAACGACACTATGATCTTCTTCCATATGCTCTACATGGACATTAGGGAGGTGAGATGATCTTAGCAATATCTCAAGCGCTGGCTTAACTTATTGTAGCACAAAGCAGGAAGTCTATTTGCTCCTAGTTTATAAAAATATGCATTAAGTCTCTCATTGCTCAGTCTGTACCAGCTGCTCATCAATTTCATAGAGCATGATCTGTCTCCATTGCTTTGTTTTGTACCTCTAGGATACTCAACATGGAATCTATCATCTAGTTATAATTACTTCTATGTCTAAACTTTAATGTTTCTGTTTTGCATTTTTCCCTGCAGCCCCTGGAAAATGCCTTTTACTATGATAAGATGACAGAACTTGTGGCTATGTACCTGGACTTGGAAATAACTGCTTCAAGGTAAGAATATCTGTAAATACCTACTAACTTATCTTCTGTGAGAACCGCTTTATAGATGTGTTTCAATTTTCTAGGAGAGGGAAAGACACAGAAAAAACAGTTACCAATAAGCTCTCTACATCTCTGTATACTTTCCTTGGTGAGTTATTTTATTGAAGAGAACTATTGATTAAAAAATAGTCAGTGTCTTTTAAGTTTTTAGAAATTTTTAATATGTCATTTATTTCAGATCATTCAGAAGATCACATACTTGATGCTCTCTTAAAAACCAAACTTATTAATAAGCATTCCAAGAAAGTTTGTGTGCCTCTCCTCAGGAAGATTTTGTCAGAACTAGTGGTAAGAAGACCACTTGCTGAACTGACATATGTGAGATTCCTCCTTTCATTTAAATTGTGGAAGAATGTTGTAGAAGATGTGGAAGAGCGTCGTGCTATCAATAAACTTGCTGCTCAACGTTTGCATCCCCCTCCGGAATATTTCCTGGTGCAGTACTTTTTGCTGATCGTTTCATTGATTTCTTTCGTTGCTGTTTTTTTATCTAATGTACGTGCATGCTCATCTAATTATCTTTTTTGTTGGTAGGATCATGATATAGCCAAGCATAATACAGAAGTATTACCCAGAGTTCCAAAGAACAAGAAAAACTGTACACTTTTTTATCTTGGAGCAAATTTTAGTGTGAAAGGCGCTTGCTATGTAAGATTTATGGAATCCCTCTTCAATTTAGATTTTCTCTTAAATATTCTCTAATGTTCATGTTTTGTTTTTACCTTGTTATTTTTGCAGGCCTTTTTCCGGTACTGTAAAGACACTAACCGCGCTAATGTTTACCGACGCAATATTCCTGTCTCTGAAGAGATTGAAAAACCTTTTCTAATATCCTCACGTTCTTCACACAGAAATAATGATGTAAACTGTCGTTCATCATCTTATTATTGGTAATTTTTAATTACTTGTACTAACTCTACTTATTTTCTTTTGTTAATTTTATAGGCTGAAGAGAGTGGCAGCTGTAGTCTTATCAATGATATCTGGAGTACAATCTCAAATGGTGATTCCAGCAGTAATTTGCTGGGAGAGTCTGATATGTTTAGTGAAGTTCATGAGGAAGAAAGAAATGAAAGTTTGGGTGACGAGGCTTCAAAAAAGGATAAGCCCCATGACAGCCCTGACTCTGGAATAGACACCTCAGATAGAAATCAAAGAAAAGACATTAGAAAGAAGAAGGAACCTGTACCTGTTACTAAATTTGTGATGATCAAGACTGAAAGTGTAGTCGATCCTATACCTGCCTCGAGTCCTGCCAAGGGTGTACAGGACTGTTGTTTGGGGTCTGTGTTCATGATGGAGCAGGTTAACAAGGTGGGAGGAGGGCATGGCCATTCAAAAGCTGATGTATGTGAATCTGAGTTGCCCACCAGTAGTAGGCAGCATTCTGTTCTAGAATCTTTGGTTTACACTCAGCCAGGGTCTGACAATGAAGCTGTTGCTTCCTCCTCAGTCAGCCCTAAAGCAGGCACTGTTCAAACCTCCCACCTTGACACCAATGAGTGTGATTCATCTGTTGAAATTTTGCAATCACGGCAAATTTCTACGGATGTAAGCCTCCCATTACAATTGAAGCCGTCACTGAACATAGACGAAGAATTAAGATCGGACAAAGCTTCCAAAGAAGACCTTCTGCTGTTCACTGGAAGTGATCCAGTTGCAGATGATGGAGGCGGTGTCTTCGAGTCTCCATTCTCAGATTTCAACATGTTCCGTGATGATCTATTCACCTGTCGTAGTTTTGAGGATCAACCGTCAATGATGTATCGACGCACAGATGTGACTGGATCTCTGCCTTTCCAAGGCAGTCCCCTTCTTGAAGAGGATGAGGAAGACTTCAGGAGTTTTAGATGGACTGGTGTGCCAGATTATGCATCAATTCAGAGCACCATCATCAATCAGTCTTCTGGAACAAGCTCAACCTCTGATCTAACATCGTGCTATGGTGGTGTGGAATCCAAAACCACACCAGAGGACAACGAGGAGCCTAAACTGGGACATGACTTAAAGTCTGGAAAGGGATCAACTCAAGGTATGTTGTGGCATAATATTTCATGTGGGGGTAAAGTTTTGCGTGTTCGGTCTGATGTGTTAGCCCGGTACAAGGCTGCTTATGCAGCTCACATTCGTTCCCGGTCTGTACCACCATCTCAAACTGCAGCACAGTCACCAACCATACCACCATCTCAAACTGCAGCAATCTCAGAAACTGTACCACCATCTCAAACTGCAGCACAGTCACCAACCGTACCACCATCTCAAACTGCGGCAATCTCAGAAACTGTACCACCATCTCAAACTGCAGCACTGTCTCAAACCGTACCACCATCTCAAACTGCAGCAATGTCACAAACCATACCACCATCTCAAACTGTAGCACTGTCTCAAACTATTCCACCATCTAAAACTGTGGCAGTGTCTCAAACTGTACCACCATCTCAATCTGTACCCCCATCTTCCAACTCTCTTCCCCCACCACCAATAGCAATATCACATGGTAATGGTAATAATTCATTGTTAGAAGGGTCGGATAATCTTAAGATTCTAGCAGAGGAAGCAGTTCGTGTAAGGGAAGCTTCAGTGGCTGAGGCAAAATGTAAATCCAAATTAGCTGCTAATTTAAATTTACCACTTAAGAAACGTAAATCTTTAGCTTCTGTTCCTGATTTAGCTAGTGTCAATAGTAGGAATGTAAATAGTGAACCATCGTATCCGTCGGCTCCCATGTTGAGCATTGCCCAGGTTCAAGGAGTGAGCAAAAGTGTCATTGTTATGAACAGTCAGTATAGTTGGCCTAGTGGGCGATCCAGCATCCCTACTGCAACCCAAGTGAAGGACAGGGCAACTGCCTCAGCAACTCATGAAGATCCAAGAGACAAACCCATTGATATGAGTTCAAACAAGATAACAGCCAAAACTGATGGGCCAAACTTTGGTAACAAAAGAGCGGATAACATTTCTGATGGAAGTTCACTATGCAAGCTGTGCAAACGTGTTGGTTGTCAAGGTATTTGCCAAAATAGCAAGAATGTGTATGTTCCAAGCAAGTCTTCTGTGAAATGCTGTGGAGTGAAACATTGCAGTGGCTCCTGCAAGAATGTTCCACAAACAGTGCACCACTACACTGTCCAACGAGAAGTTTCAGTGACCAACAAAGTGAAAACAGAGTCGAGTAACAAGCCAAATGGGATTCTCAAAACAAGACCAGGCGTTGTTTTCTGTCAACATTGCAACAATGTGAAATGTGATGGCCGCTGCAAGCTAAACAAAAGCTCAAGCGAAGGGGTGAAGAATCAGAGGGTTCATTTTAACAGCCCTTCCAAGGCTGTTTTGAAATGTTTCCAATGCAAGTCCCCAGGCTGCAATGGAAAGTGTATGACAAGTCATTCACGATGCTCTACTGCAGCACCAAGTAATCGGAAGACAGCACGTTGTGGACTTTGTAAAATTCCCTCTTGTAATGGTCTATGCAAGACAACTGCATCAAAATGCAGCATCTGCTTTTCTGAAAATTGTGAGGGAACATGCTATTTGACTGGGCGTAGCACTAATAACAGCCTATCTACTGTAAATGACTTCAGTGTCTTGAACTCTCATGTGTTTGCTGACAAACAGCCAAAGTGCTTGGTTTGTGCTAAAACCTGTTGTGGAAAATGCAAAAGTGCTTCTGCAACAGGCTTCAAGTATTGCCCATACTGCTTTCCTGATGTTTACAAAGGAACAAGTTTAAGCCACAGTGTTAAATCAATTCTTGGAACAAGTGCAAAGCCCAAACCAGAAGTTGCTCTCAGCACACCTAAAAGAGCAAAAGCCTCTGCTGCAAGTCGCCGCACTAGAAGCTCATCGACATTGCCAAGACAATATACAGCTGCTGCTGGTAGTGATGCCCAGTCCTTCACTGTTGATGATGTGAAACGCCGTAAGAAGTCTGTGCAGAAGCCTGTGGCTAGATAGCACTGCATTGGTTCTGTGGGGTTTGGCCTTTAGCAAAATTATCACCTAATGTGTAGGTAGATGCAAACCGGTACTTAGCTCCAGTTTTGGTTTTGTATAAAAGAGAGTTGTGTATTGTATTTTATTGTTTATAGCCTCCTTTTCCTAGGAGACCCAGAGTTTTATCCTGAAAATGGTGCAATGTCAATATAAGGTATTTCTGTGATCCTCAGTCAAAAACCAGCAAGTTAGTCATATATTTTAGGTGTAGTTTGTTGTTAGACTCAACTTGATGAGTTTTGCTTGGAGAACACAGGGATCTTAGCTTTAAGTAAAGTTAATTTGTATTCTTTTCTTTATTGTTAAGTCAGGGTTTATATTTAAATATTGTGTTGTACATTTTTTTCTTTTCAGTATTCGAATGTTTAATATATGGGTCTTATTTAAAAGACAGGGAGTTGCTGTTAGTTTTGATTTAGTTTCCCTAATATTAGTGATTTTAAAAATGTCTGAAGAAATATCAAACTGCCGTAGAGCCTTTGCTCAGTTGTTGGTTAATGCACTCCCCTTATGGTGGAACTGTGTTAACATAGACTTTATTTAAAGCTTAGTTTCACTGCAGTCTCTTATTTGAAAAATATCCTTTTAACTAACCACAGAGACAGGAGTTTGCAGCTCTTTTTTGCAGTGAAATTAATTTGTCTCTTTTCTATTTCTCAGATATAAAAGATTGATCCAAATGAAAAATATACAGCTCTTTATTAACGGAAGTGTTCTTATAACTACTGCAAGTTTACTTTTTATGCTGTAGGGGAAGTTTTGTCTAGTTGTGGTTCTGTTCAGAAAGTTTTTTGTTTGAATCTTACAAATTGTGGGGTTTGTACGGGGTATTTATAATAATATCAACTGTCTGATGTTGATAATTGAATGTTGTGTAATTCTGTTTAAATTAGATTTTATATAATATATATGAAGCTGTCTTTGAAGTTCCTTATGAGCCAAACAATCATGTCAAAACATCACATTGTTAAAAAAAAAATGTTTCATACAACTTTTTACAAAAAAATTACTGTATGTGGTTGGATCCTGCCAATGGCATTTGGTCTGTACTCTTGATGTTGATATTACCACTTTTGACTCCACTAAGTCTGTGTTCAAATTGTAGCATTGTTAACTTCAAGATCAGTGACAGTCCCTCTAAAGTTGTGACTTGCACTTTGTGATGCTGATTAGGAAAGGTGTTCCTTATGTTATACCATTCCACATTGATCTATACTGATCTCTAAGACGTGTCTACCTCATGTACATGTTTAAGCTGCGAAAGGATGTACAATTGTGTATATTTCATAGTACTCCTTGCTTGAGCTCTCTTCTTCTCGTTGTTAAGAATTATTAAGAAGTGCACAACTATTTTGTAATATGTTTAATACAAGAAGGATTTTGGTTTTGTCTTTCTTGAGCAGATTCTGAGTTAGGGAATTGTCAACCCTAATTTTTTAGTCAGATGACATGATTCATATTTTTCTGTGTCATTGGCTACAGCAAATCAAAAGAATTCCTTCAGAATAACTTCAGGACAAACCTTTCAAAAGAAGCTACATGCTTTTTGTTTTGAAATCAAAATTGAAGCTTTTGAGTTTTTAAAACTTTTGAATTTCATCTCTTTTCATTTGCATCCTAGTAAAGAACAAAACTTCGCTTATTTTCTTGATCTTTGTAATGTTAAAATTATATTTGACCTGCTGCCTGTATCAAATTCTGGGAAGACAGACTCTGCAACATCCTGCACAGTGACATCACCACCAAGAAGATAACATCAAAGTCTAAAGTAGCTTCCTTGTTTTCAAACTAAATATTTAATTCTCTTTGGTTTGGTTAATTTTTTGCGTTTAAATATTTTAAACCACATCAGATGGAACATAAGCTTTTGGTTTGTGTTTAACAAGTTCATTAACTTCAATCAAAATTAAGTTCAGTTACTTCTGCAAAGTTCTCAAATATTCTCCCTTTGTTGCTTATGAATCAAATGACTTCCAAGAAGAGCCTGCCTACGCTTCATCCTTCATCAGCACCAATGCGAAGATTTCATCCTAATTGATAATTGATTCCCATTAAGTTTTGCTTGAATTCATTTGTTGCCTTAATCTATTCCTATTACAAAGCATCAATTCAAATCTTATCCCAGACAATTTTCATCTTTTAAGTCAGTCAAGAATTTGTTGTACATTGGTTTTCATTTTAATTAAGTTAAAGTTGCATTCCTCTTACAATCCAAGTCCTTCTGACAAATTTTCATCATCAGTTCAGAAACCTCCTAACAGTTCTGTATTTCTTCCTTTGGAATCAAATGACCTCAAGAGGATCCTGCCTGCACTTCATCTTTAATCAGCACTTCTATGAAGATAAGCATCCTAACTGATTCTCGTTTCATTTGAACTTCCATTTCTTACCTTATTGCGAAAGTGTCAACTTAATGTAAATTCTCGATAACATTTAAAGTCTCTTGGGCCATGCTAGAATTTATCATTACAGTAAAATTTCTTGAATACAGTTACATTTAAGTTTTTAAAATCTCTTGGGCCATGCAAGAATTTATCATAGATTTTTCTTGAATACAGTTGAGTCTAAGCTTTTAAAATCCAAGTCCTTTTGGCATCATATTTTGATCTTCAATCCATCGTGGGATCAACAATGCTTCATTCAACATCATCAGATCACCTCCTAAGTCGCCGTTCTGCAAGATTGTGGCCGTCCTTGTGTTAGCAATGAAGTGCAAATTATTTAATCATCACTCTTTCTTGTGATTTAACTTTGTTTTAATGTAACATTGACATATAAGAGATTAGAGGTATATATTTTTTTAGCTTTAATTTTTATTGGCTATGAAGAGTTGTTTTGTGGTTTTTTTTTTTTTTTTTTTTTTTTGGCAAAGTTTGATGGCAAGTCTTACTACCTGGGCATTTGTAGACGTCTTTTCTCTTCATTTTATCTTTACTTTGAGGTATAATTTTTAAATTGGGATTAGTATTTTATTGAAATCATAAATCTACTTAAATATGCACACAAGCCACATTTCTTCACTTTTGCCACGGCAAAATGGGCATTGATGTTCATGCAATCTCTGTTTAGAGGTAAGACATCTCAACTACACAGCCTCAATTCTTCTTCTTTTTTGTTTTCTTAGTGATCAGCATCTTTACACAGACAAATGACAGGGTGTTGCGCGTAAATTTAACATTGTTGGATATGGGTTACTTCTGTACAGTTCAGTTAAATCTATACTGTGGAACATTGATGAAGTTCCCACTTGCCTTCTATTTGTACATTGTTATTGTCTTTTCTCTTTTTTTTGGGGGGGGGGGGATTGTGTTTTGGGACGTTCAGCCATAAAAGGTGTATTGGACGGTCCCTGTATTCTGTGATATGAATTTGAATGTCCTTCTGCTCTTTCCTTTGGAGGTCCTATAGTGTGTATGCACATAAGCTTTTTCTTTTTTTACTGTCACTGTGAACTAAAAGGTGTTTTCTTATTGGCAGGTTTACAAAGAAATGCGAGAACAAGTAGGCGACAAAGTGAGCAAGCCACTATTGATTCTACTTGTGGTGGGGTCTTAGCTGATCTTGGTTTAGGATCAACTGCCCTTGAATCAGACCTTGTGGACTTGGGTTTGGACGATCTTGGTCTGGAGAAAGCTTTAAGTGGTGGTTTAGATGAAAACTTGACCGGTGAATTCGATGCATCAAGTGGAGATGATGAAAATATTGTTGATGCTGGCATTGAAGTGGCTCAACCCAGCACGAAAGCTCCCAAACGACCAGCCTCAGGTAAGTTTTCTTCATGATCACAGCCTTGGATAAGCGGAACTCCTTCTTTCTTTTTATAAAATTCACATTGTGTTTTGAAGGAGGGATATATGGTTTACATGACCCATTCATTTTGGTTTTATTTTGCTATGCAGATGTTCGTCGAGGACGACCGCCTAAAAGACGGGGTTCTAATGCAAGTCAACCTACAGCTGTAGCCAGCACCACATCCCCATCAAATCATGGTATGTAAAAAGGTTAAGATCCGGCAATTGATTGTATCTGTGGTTTGACCCATTTTGTTGATTTCCTTTGATTCCCTTTGTTATAGTTGTGGTTCCGAAAAAACCCCGTCACAAAGCCACATCCATATGTGCTATGCCTTTGACCCGGAGCATTGCTGATGCAGTGGGAATTCGACTTCCAGATCCCATTCAGGAGGTGAAAAGCAAGGTAAGTGGTGACATTAATACATCAATCAAAACTTAAATTATTATTCTAATGTTTTTGTGAGACTTACAATTTGGAATGGCTTTTCTTTTTGTTAATAGATGGCGACTATGAGGAAGCAGCAGTCCAAGAAAAGTGTGCTGTGAATTGAAGTGTTTCATCCTAAGAAATGATTTGCTTATCATGCCTGTAAACTTACCTGTGTGAAAAAAATTTACAAAAATAATGAACTTTGTATCTTTTAATGAATGAATTGATCAGCATTGTGCTACATTTTTTAATTTATGTTTTTTTTAAACTGTATTTGAAGAGATTGAATGTACGTACCAACTATACGTACTTTGGAATGAACTCAGTATTAACTGTCATTGTGGCTGCAAGTTGAAACTAAACTTGAACTTGTGTGTGCAAGACCTTGTATTATGAGCTTTCTGGAAGCTCTAGAACTATGCCCACCTTATTTATACTTGCCTTTGAAACCTGTTGCCCTGTCCGTAAGCTGTAAACAATTAATAAAAAAAACCAAAACATTTTTTATACAAAATTTGTCACACTTATTTTCCCTTTGAACTCAATTAATAGACTGAACTGACGAAGAAGGTGAATCGTCGACTGGCACATTCTAACAAAACAGCCTATTCATGTACATCAAGTACTCAGAACCTACTTAACATGAGGCTCCAAAATCAAACGTGTTGGGACTTCCCGTACAACCCAAGCATTTCAACGCGAGAGATAAAAATGTCGTTATTCGCACGACGAGGATGAATAACTGGCCAAGTATTCGCACCACCTCGAAGTTGTGGTCGTATTCACAGTATACCCTGCGGATAAGAAATGCTACTGCTTCACGGTCTTTCCCAGCTACTTGTGTACTTTACGTCAATCAAAAATATTTTGTGCAGTCATTGTCATCAGAGAGAAATTGTTATTATGGCAAAAATTTGGATGTGTCATTGATTTAACACAATCGTCTCATTTGCCGGTGCAGCCGAATTCCTGAAAGGAATCTAAAATTTGACTTGGCTTCTGCCTGTGGAGGTTAAGTCCCCACCTACTTACTCTTTTTGACTGATTTGTCTGATACAATGCACTCTTTATCAAAATAGTATGTCAGTACTATCTGTTTGGTTCCAAGTTATGTGAAGCTTACTTTAAATCCTGGTTTATTCTGCTGGAAACATGCGGGTTTGTACTTCAATTTTGGTCATTTGACATTTCTGCTGTTCAATGCTAGCCCAAGTAAATGGTTAACACTGTCGGAAATTTTTCTGTCTCACAGCGGGCGAAACTAGCTGCTGGATCTGTTCCAGCGGGATCGTTGCCAACAAGTTCATATGTGGTACCTCGGTGCTTTGTTTGCGATGAGCCTATCAAATCTCATCGCTTTAGCACATCACTGTTGGCAGGACGAACTCAATATACTCATTCTCCATTGCCAACCAAAATTGGTGGATACATAGGTGATGAATTTGTAGTTGTTGTCACTCCTCAAGATGCATTATGTAAACATTGTATGGCTCTTATAAACACCATGGACCGTTTAGAGCTTGAGCTTCGTCAGCATCGATACACATTAACGCAACATCTAAAAACTAAATATAAATTAGGTGAGTTGCAAATGATGGATATGTTTAGTGTACTATACATCCCACTTGTCATATTTTTACTCATCGTCCATATTTTCTTTAGATGAACCTACTGCTGTGTCAACTACCAAGAAGTCTGAGGTATGTTTACAAATGTTTTCAAATTAGGTATTTTGTAGTTGATTTAATAAATTATTTTTTTAAAATTTGTGCCCAGAATGCTCATGTGGAGGAAGTCCAAGATGAACCAGAGATAATTGAAGTGTCTGATGAGGAATGGACACCAAATTCCACACCACACAAGAGACAGCGAACTGAGTCTAGTAAACAACACTGTTGCACCATTTGTGGTGCCACTTACACAAACTTAAGTCTTTTCATGGCGCATCTAAGTCGCCACAAGCAAATATCTTCCAAGACCAAGGCTACCTCAGTACCTGTTTTGTCTACAGTGAAGACTTATGTGTCTGAAACTTCTAGTCAAGGATTAAAATTTAAATGTGGGTGTTGTTCAGAATCTTTTCCCACCAAGGAAAGTCTGGCCATTCATATGCAGCAGCACACTGTGACTCAAGCAAAGCCTAAAGCAAATTCTGCTCTTTCTCCAAATGTGAGTAAATCAAATAATGAGAGTACCTTGCTGGAGATTAAGTCTGAACCAGTAGTGCAAACTTCATCATTGTTTGAAGACATTGAAGAGTTGTCTCACCATGAACCTCAAGCTCAAGCTCTCGGATCTGTTGGAGTGTGCACAGAAGAACAGAAAGGAAGAGTTTGTCTGTTAGCATTACTGAATAATGGTGTCTGCTCCGATTTGTCTCACCGAGCTCCAGCCTCAGGCTCACTTCAAAATTCTCCACAGAACTCAAGTGTGCTCAATGAATCAAAAGTGAACGTTTCTGCTGGAGATCAAACCATATCTATTACTGTGTCAATTCCTAGTTGTTTGGATGGAGGGCCAATGATGGAGCAGCAGCTCTCCATCCCTGCTGTGTCTCATCAGTCTAGCAATTCAACTTGTCTCTCATTTCCTGTGACTTTTACCAATTCACCAGTGACCTCTACTTTAGTCAATACTTCATTCTCTGTGATAGATACCCAAATCAACAAACTCCAGGAGAACAATTTGAATACATCAAACCAAAATGCCCTTGAGAACCACTCTTCTAGCTTGCAAAATAATTGCCTAGATTTGCCTGATTTGTGTGATCCATTTCCTGAAGTAGCAAACCAAGTAGCTCAAAACTCTCCTGAACTTGTGACTAAAGGCAACAATAGTAAGAAAGCGTCTCCAGCATGGGGTCGCAAGATTCTAGTAAAAAATATAACTGATCATGCTGTGAGCACTCCCACTTCCATAATGCCTTCAAGTAGGTTAGTTCAAAGTATGGATATGCCGTCCCTTCTAGAAGAAGACATGCTTCCAAACGAAGACAGTAATCAAGAAACATTTCGTTTGGCATCAGGCGAAGTCCGCACGTTCGAGTCTGGAAAAAACACTGAAAGTTTAGGAAGGATTAATACTTCTTCTCAACCTGACTTGACGGGAAGTTTGAACAAAAATGGAACTGATTCTGTTAAAAATATAGCAATTGTCAGTGTTACAAGTGTCCAAGTCAATAAGGATAGCTATGATGAGAATAACATTGTGTCAGATTGGTTCTATGCATCATCTGGCAAGGACATATCTCCTGTTTTAGAAGGCCAGAAAGCAAAGGATATAGATGCACCTGCTGAAGCATCCTGGTTCCCTGAAAGTGATCAAATATCTGTTTCAGAAAAGTTACACAATGAAAAATGCAGTGCTGCGGGGTATTCCACTGACTCTTGCATTTCATCACAGAAGCTAACGACTGAGGGGAGCAAGTTAGCGGACAATTGAAAAGAATTAAATATATTTACATCCTTTGCCTTTGATCGTTTGTGGAGAAAAAATAACTTGTGTCTACTTCTTCAAAAATGACTTTTTCTGACAAGCGCCTCGATTCTTAACTTATTTTTCTTGTGATAGCAGTAAACAGCGTTAACTTCAAAGTTTTGAAGTAGTTATGGAATGTATGCTGAAAAGATTTTGTTTGCTTCTCTGTGGGCACCGCAAGTTTAATGAAAAATGTGTAAGGGAAGCTCGAAGATTTTTATTTTAAGTTGTTGATATTACAAAGTTACCATTTTTTTTTGTAAGTTACTGAAATTGACGCTTCTATCCTCCTCCTTTCCAGCATGTATTTCATGCTATTGTATTTTCTGTCTATTTCAACAAGAGGAGACTGTAATAAGATTGCTGACATCTATCATCTCTCACACCACTAAATTTGTCTTATTCTGGTAGAATACTGTGGATGCAGTCAAAACGCCACTAAAATTTGTAAACCTTACTATTAATGTAGTCCATTTAAGTAATGAACACGTGTGCTTTTCTAGTCTGCATTTCCTGCAAAAAAGAGTAGTCACTTGAATTTAACCCTTTTTAAAAGAGGTTTTAATCTTGAGGTATTATGATTTATAGTACAAATTGTTCAATAAGTCAAGTTATGGAAAGGTCCTGTGTGACACTTAACATTATTGGTGCAACTGTGTGCACAAGGGTGAAAGAAATTAAAGCATTTTCACACATATTGTTGAAACAAAATTCCCGAAGCATACCATATGAAAAGTTAAATAAAAGACCAAGAAGTTACCAAAAACAAGAACATAAAGTAGTTTTCCTACACTGTGAAAGAAATGGGCCCTCGGTTGAACCCTCTAGCTTAGAACAGATTTAAACTGCCCAAAGTGCTCAGAAGCACGGCCTGCTTGCTTAGTCGGGGTTCAAATCCCTGCTGCTAGCTAAAGCGTACTACATTGTCGCAGCAGCGTGTCAAATGGGTGGCCTACCTTGGCGGCGCATGTACGCCACGTGTCTGGGGCCAACGGGGATAGTAAAAGGCGAACTGCCGCTATAGTGCAAAAGAGTCCCGCCGTCGCCTCCTCCCAGAAGGAGAGTGGAGCGTGCCATGGGTGGCCTACGTTGGCGGCGCGGCTAAATGGGAGGCCTACCTTGACGGCGCGGGCCCTGCTACTAGAGGAGCGTCTTTGCCTCGCACAGGCAAAAGAGTTCCCGCCGTCGGCTCCCACCCCCCCTACCCCCCCTCCCAGAAGGAGAGGGGAGTAGGGGCAATCATAAAGGGTTAGCAACCTGACCTGGCTGGTGGCGAACCAGGTCCAACGGGAACGCTGCCGCATGGCCTCCATGGCCCATCGCTCTGCCACCTGAGCTACGACAACACACCTATCTGTCTCGTCGTATCTTAGAGTGATGATACCGGGTATGAGAAGTAAACTGAGGAAAAGATTCACTCATCTGGGAGTCGAACCCAGGACTTCCCCCCGCCGGCCGACACCCCTACCACCTCAGCCACCCAGCCACTACGTGCCGACGAGGTCGATCTTAGAGTGATGGTACCGGGTATGAGAAGTAAACTGAGGAAAAGATTCACTCATCTGGGATACGAACCCAAGACTTCTCCCGCCGGCCGACACCTCTACCATCTCAGCCACCGAGACACTACGTGTCGATGAGATCGATTTTAGAGTGATGGTACCGGGTATAAGATGTCATCAGTCTGTGGCGTAGGAAAATATTCTTATAGCTGGGATCGAACCCAAGTCCTTCTCAGCGCGGCAGACACCTCTGCTCACTGAGCCACCCGACAGCTTACATTCCGCCTGGCCAAACTTAGACTGTTGCCCCATTTAAACGGTCAGTCGAGGAAAATAAGTTTGTCCCTGGGATTCGAACCCACGTCTTCACTTCTTAACGCGGCCGCTGCCTCTGCGCCCTGAGCCACCGAGACACTCACGGTATGATCACCCAAACTTAGACTGAAGTTGCCTCGCGTTGAGCTAGTGTTCGATCGACCGACCGACCAATGTGGTATCACATTCAGTCGGCAAGAGCGTCGCGCCCATCTAGGAGGGAAGGACCTGGGTTCGATTCCCAAGCGCTTGTTTCTTTTCCTTCGTTACCGCTTCCCGCACCGTCAATCTGAGTTTAGGCACTTGTTTCGAAAGAGTAGCGGTGGCTCAGTGGGCTGGAGCGTCGCGCCCACTAAGGGAAGGACCTGGGTTCGAGACCCAGTCGCTTGTTTCTTTTCCTTCGTTACCGCTTCCTGTATCATCAGTCTGAGTCTATGCACGGGGCTTGAAAGAGTAGCGGTGGCTCAGTGGGAAAGAGAGTCCCGCGCCCGCTGCGAGTAGGATCTGGAATCACTGCTCTGCCCGCGCGAGAGAAGGTTCGGGCGGAGCAGCTCAAACACAGTGCCACTCTGGGATACATCACACTGCCCGGCAGCGCGGTTTGGATGGCCGTAGACCGGGAGGAGATATGTATCGGGCCACATGAAATGTCTGTGTCCCACGCCCGGGATTGTTTTCCTTATTTCTTTATGCCTTCTGTGCCACAGCGCCCGGAAGGTAGACAACCGCTTTGACACGTCACAGGATGTCTTTTTCCCTTGACTTGACTTGAAAGGCTAAACCACAACTAACTGATCTTATGCCGGTTCGGGCCCGTTAACTGCCATTGCACAACATGACATACCGTCCGTACAAAGAGCAGGAACGGCCGGGGTCATATGCCACACCGCACTAAGTTCCCAGTGAGAGCAGTCTTTGAAAACAAAGAACCCTACCCTACGCTACCCTCAGATTTTCTAATCGGGATTATAAAGTTAAAATAATAATGATCGATTTTTAATTGGTTCTACACATCCTTTTATTGAGGTTGTCAATTGTACAAACATTCAGACAGATCAAAAGATATCTAAAGGAAGGAACACATTCTGCCATACCTGTACAAAATAACATACTACACTATAAAACAACAAAAACAATAAAATTAACAAAAAGCCTGAAATAATATTTTGTCTTAAATAAAAATATATTTATGTTCATATATGTATATTTATATATGTGCATAACTCATGCACACCTTACAACTTACTGAATGTTAATGACTTAAAACTTGTTCACACTTTACCAAAAGTCATTCGTCACAGCAACCACTTTCTGCACATACAAAATTACAACTCTGCTGTTCATGAAATACTGCCAATTGAGCCATGAATACAAGAAATCTAATACTACAGTGAAAACATTTATGTGGCACAGGTCATATTTGGCCCGATATACAGAAACTCAAGGAACTCATGACTTTCCCATTTTCTTAAATCATTCTAATATGCACTTAAATCACAATAAAATGTCAAAATAAATTAAAGTAAGTGGGAAATTATAACAAAACTCTTCGGCATTAAGAGTTGACAAATAAAGACACAAAAAGATAAAATTAGAAGGCATAACAAGTACAGTACTCAGTTCAATTGTTTCGCATCTGCCGCATTCACTGGTAGAGTGGAACATCACATTAGGCTCTGATGGAAGCAGTTTGTACAGTTAATGGAAGCAGTCATACCAACCTTTCTCCAAAATCACAATCATCATTCTACAAAATTAAAATAATTACCAGAAAGCAGAAATAACTTATTGTGAATAGGAAAATAGTACTGTTGGAATGACTTGGCAGCTGGCGTAAGACCGGAAGCTTCCTACTTCCTAATTTTAAACACCAAATTTAAAATTGAAAAAAAAAATATATAAAAAAATTGTAGTACAAACATGCTTCCTCACATAATAGCTTTCTCTACAGAAGCTTTTAGCCCTCAACCACCAACCTTTACATGAAAGCAACATTACTCATCAGTCTCAGAGCAATTGTTCTAGCAGAGAGCATCACAGCAGGGGCCCCACGGCCGGACAGCAAACAAGACATGAACCTACTGATAATACCTTCACAAGAACTTTCTTTGGAGTCAATGTTCCTAAATTACACATCAATTGTTGAGATTCCCCTGCATTCAGTAAATGAGTAAATATTAGCCTACAGCTCTCTGTACAGTATGTTAACAAAGACTAGCATACACATTATTGGTTCGACTGAGCAGGCCGGCTACTTATAATCTTGCGCCTGACCTGTACCTCCCTCCAGTCAACATTATTCTTATCACCACGTAATCATTTACAATAAGAATAAATCCTAAAATAGACATCCCATCAGCCCTGGTTTGTTGTCTATTCAAAGATTAATTAAGAGTCTCTATCACTGGTAGATATTGGAAAATTAATTAGGTAGCTTCCTCCCAACATTATATGTTCACTGGATAAAAACATAATTTATACGAAAATGTCATACATTCATTTTTACTTACTTCATCACAAAGTATGATTGAAAAATGTTTAAATAGCGTAAAATTGTTTCCGAAACCCTACAGACAAAAGTTAAATTGTAGCAAAATATGAAATACAGATAACACACAATTGATGATAGATAATGATGATGCAACATCAATGCACTCCATAAATTGGGCCTACGTAATCTACTACAAGAGAGAAGAAATATTAGAAGCTGGATTTTAGATGCATACATCATCTGCCCAGAAAAGTTATGGTACAGAAGCATATATTTGACTAATGGCACATTATATGCACAAGAAGGGACAGTCACTCAATGCTGACAAAGTAAACTCTCTACCTCATTCATTCACACTCATTCATATTGGATGACAGGATAAATTACAGGTTCACAGCCAGTCATTGTAGGAGGCATTTAAGCAGAAGAAAAACACCCATTTTGTGACTACAGCGATACCAAATAGGCTCACTCCAAAAACTGATTAATACTCCTTGAGTAGCTTATCTTCCACTGTCACAAAAAGAACTCTTTGCCTAAGTTAGTATACATTACGTTAAGGAAACAACTCAGTCTTTGACTTCCAAAGGCAAAGACAAGAAAAGGGCCAATACAGGGCTCCGTCAAGAGTGTCAATTAATCGGAAGATAAGCGAACAAGGAATTAGCAATATTAATAATAAATGATTTTGAGATGACTCATGTTGGACAGTTGCTCAATTAATTAATCACACATATTTACACAAACAAGAAAGGAAACACACATCTCCGTGGCACAATAGCATGAAAAGAAAGAATCTCGGCAAGGAGAGAGGAATAAATAAATAGTAAGGAAACCCATAATTGGACTTACTGGTTCCCAAAGATAAAGGACAGATTGGAAAGCAAAAAAAAACCTAAAACGACAGACAGAAGGGAAGAAGGAAGGCGCTGCCAATCATGACATCTCCATAAAATCTCTTTAAAATAACTCCTACACACAATGAACGAGACTGGAGGGAGAGGTTACTTTAAGAAGGGGGAGGGGAAACCACAGTTGTCCATCACAACATAATAAATATGGCGGACTTAGATACTACACATCAATCTTTAAAACCTAGGTACCAGCTCACAGTCAGTTATCCTATCTTTGTACAGCATTCACAACATCTTTCACAGTGTTATGCACCTCTGTGCAGAGCCTGGAGTTCTCGGAGGAGTTCCTCGCGCCGGCCGAGCGCAGCTGCCTGGCCTGCGCCTCGAGGCGGGTCAGCAGCTCGCGGAGGTGGAAGCGCGCGTGGGGCGGGCCCAGCGAGTCGGCGTAGCCCATGCACGACGTGTGCAGCAGGCCCACCTTGTCGGAGAGCTGCAGCCAGCTGGACGTGCTGACCGAGGGCGCGGACTTGAGGGAAGCCAGGCTCGTCTCCAGGGCCTGCGAGATCTCCAGAATGCTGTCGCGCTCGCTCTTGGCCGTGCCGTTGCTGGACGAGTCGGCCTGGGGGCCGGGCGGCACGCCGGGCGGCACGGGGGTGGCGTAGATGGCCAGCAGCGCGGGCTTGGTGCTGGGCGGCGGCACGGTGGGCTTGGCGGGCCGCACCACGGGCTTGGTGGGCACCACGGGCTTGTCCTCGGACTGCGGCGGCCAGACGCGCCGCTCGCCGCGGCCCTTGCCCTGCTCCTCAGGGGAGCCCTGGTCCTCGCCGCCGCTGCTGCCGAGCTGGGGGCTCCGCGCCGGCACCTCCGGCTTGCCGCGGTTCGACATCTTGGGGCTGATCTGGTCGGCGCCCTCCTTGCCGGCCTCCGTCTCCTTGGTCTCCCACAGCTTCTTGAGGCTGCTGATGCTGCCCGTGCTGCGCCGCTTGTCCTCGCCGTCCTCGCCGCCCTGGTCCGCGTCGTTTTCCTCGTCCGCGTCCGTCTTGGCGCCGTCCACCTTCCGCAGCCGCGACTTGAAGTCGATGATGGGGCCCGGGTTGTCCAGCACCTCCGCCTCCACCTTCTTCCTCGCGGCCACGGGGGTGTCCGAGGTCTTCTTGAGCTGCGCCTTGAAGCCGGCGGCCTCGGCCTTGCTGTCCTGCCGGGGCGCGGCGTCCGCGTTGCTCACCTTGCGCAGGTTGGCCTTGAAGTCGACGCCGGAGGGCGACACCTGCCCGCGGCCGGGCGGGCTGCCTCCGCTTCCACCGCCCACGCGCTCCTCCCTGGCGGCGTCCTTCTCGGCGGCCAGCTCGGCCACGAGGCGCGCCGCGGGGTCCTGCAGCGCGTTGCTGGCGGCAGAGTGCAGCTCCGGACTGTCGCGCGCGCGCCCGCTCGCTCGCTCCTTGATCTCGGCCACCAGCTTGAGCTCCAGCATCTCCTTCATCATGCCGGGGATGGGCGCCTTGAACGGCTTGCCCGCCGAGCCGCGCCGGTCCGAGTCCGAGTCCGAGCTGGGCGTGCTGGGCTCGACGGGCGAGTCGGGCGTGAGCGGCGGCAGGGGCGACGGCGGGCTGGGCGGCCGGTCCTTGGGGCGCGGGCCCTGCCCGTTGTTGTTCTTGGACCCTCTGCGCGACCCCAGGTCGGAGCGCGCGCTGCTGCACGAGTCGGTGGAGGGCTCGCGGTGCCGCAGGCTCACGCCGAAGCGGAAGCTGGCCTCCTCCACCGAGGGCTCCGGGTTGATGACGTCGCCGTCGGCGTCGTGCTGCGCGGCGGCGGCCAGGGCGGGCTGGAAGGTGGACAGCACGGCGGGCTGCGACTCGGCGCTCAGGCTGGCGCCGATGCGGCGGCCGCCGCGGGGCGACGCGGCCGGCGGCAGCTTGGACGACACGGGCGTCGAGTTGGGCAGCGACCCCATGCGCTTGCGGCACTCGGGGCTGGAGGCGTACGCCACCGCGTCGTCGGGCGGCGGCAGGTCTTGCGGGGGCGGCGGGAACTCCAGGTCGGCGAGGGACGGCTGGGCGGAGCGCGACGGGCTGGGGCTGCCCGCCGTGGCCGCCGCCGTCGAGTTGCTGCGGAAGGTGCGCAGGCTGGAGCCTACGGTGTCGTTGCGCGCGCGGCCCGTCGACGCCGAGGTGCTGTTGGCGGCCGCGGCCGCGGCCGCCGCCGCCGCGCCGCGCTGCGCCTTGCCCGTCGGCGACCCCGGCTGGAAGCCGCCCGACGAGTTGCTGCGGATCATCTGCGGCTGCGTCCGGATGCCCGTCCGCGGCGACCCCGCCGTCGTCCTCCGCGACGCCGGCAAGTCCGTCACCGAGCTCACCGTGATGTCGTGCGGCGCGTCCTGCACGTCCACGCCCTCGGCGCAGCCCTCGCCCTCGCCCTCCACGCCCAGCCCGCTCACACGCAGCGACTCTAGGTACGCGCCGATGCGCGCGCCCTTGGGCAGCGTGCCGTACCGGTTGATGGCGCGCTTCACGTTCTGCACCTCCAGCGCCGCCACCTGCACCTGCCGGGGACAAACGGGCACACCACTGGGATTAGCAAAGGCTCGCTCGCAACACACCACAAGGCGACTCACAGTGGACCAGAAGACCGGCGGAGGCGGTCAAAATTCCAGACGCTCCAGAGTAGCTAGATGGGACTCGAACCGAACGTGTGACCCCGTCAATGGATTGCTCTCCGAACGAGAAGTCCACTCCACTGGAGGGGTCACACGTTTGATTCGAGTCCTGGTTATCGAATTTGAAGCTTAAAACGCGTCTGGAGGTTTAGCTGCCCGCGCCGGTCTTCTGGCTCGCTGTCCGCTAGGCAAGTCGAAAGAAGAAAGAGAAAGGAAACCCGCCTCTCTTCACGAACAAAACTGCCGTCGACTCAGAGACCGGCAGGTATGTTCGAGAAGCTGTCCTTCGAGGTAAGTTGGGGAAGAGAAGCACAGGATTAGAAAAGTACGATGTGGCCTACAGCTACAGCAGGCATCTTGACCTTGGAGTAGGAGTCCTACTCCAAGTCTTGACATCCATTTGACAGGAATTTCACACTACTAATTCCCTCATGTTTAGTTGAATTTTCTGATCGAGTCTATGGGTCAAAGTCAAGATATCGGCGCCACAAGGCTGTACTTCTCATCCCCGGCGTTAACCTTAGGTCCTTCCTTTCTTCAACCTCCACTCCCTTCCACGCCCCTCTAGTCGAGCAAACTTCCGCAGCAGCCCACTGATTCCGAGTCAGTTTCGTCTCTCTCGCACCTTTTAGGGGATGCCCCCACGAGTTCGAGAGAGACAGAGCGACGAAAACGACTCTCGGAATCAGTCTGCAGGGCGGTCCGACACTGTGAAAATTTGTTGTCACTTTATGAAAAAACCGTGGATGATACTTTCACCACTTTGAAATTATGATTAATCTCATCAAACATTGACGACAGTTTCATCAACGCTCCTATACTTATTGCAAGGGCGTGACAACAATGTCATAAATTGTTTCAATGGCATTGTTGTAAGGAAAATTAGCCTTGGAATTGTCATCAAACGACGACTCAAATTTTTATAGTGTAAGGTCCGAGGCCCACCTTCTGCTGCTGCTGCTGCTGCGCCGCGGCCACGGCGGCCGCCTCCTTGGGCGGGTAGGTGCGGGACTTCTTGCCGCGCTGCTCCTGCGCGCGGTTGCCCATGACGGGGGCGGGCTGCCGCTTGAAGGACGACAGGCCGGCGCCGAGCACGGGCGTGGACGCGTTGGAGCCGCCCGACGGCGGCGGCGGGAAGGCCCCGGGGAAGGCGCCCGTCGCCACGCCCGACCCGTCCGTGTACGAGTGCGCCCCGGAGTCGTCCGTGTCCGGCGTCTGGTCCTGCATCTCGCTCTCGCTGTCGCCCTTCTGGCTCGCCGTCAGGCTCTGCAGGTCCCGGGTGATGCCTGCGGGGAAAGGGCGGTCGGTAAAGCAGTGTGCCCAACGGCCGGCAACGGAAGGATGCACAGGCGCGGATCCAGAGAGGGGCGGGGCACAGTGGGCCAGAAGACCGGCGGAGGCGGCCAAAACACTGGACGCGTTTTGAGCTCCAGAGTCGCTAAGTGAGACTCGAACCAAACGTGTGACCCCATCAATGGATTGCTCTCTGAACGAGGAATCCATTGGTGGGGTCACACGTTCGGTTCGAGTCCTGTTTAGCGACTCTGGAGTTCAAAACGCGTCCAGAGTTTTGGCCGCCCCCATTGGTCTTCTGGCCCACTGTGCGGGGGAGGCGCGAAAGGAAAATTGAACTTTCCCCTTGACCCTTGTATAAGCGTCTGAAAGGTGGGCAAAACTCCACACTTTGCCCCAATGCATAGGCCAAAAGTGCTTCCGTACTTTGCCTCTCCCCCATGCCGGCCCTGGATCCGCCTCTGTAATGATAAGATTCTCTCGTTCTTTCCACATAGTTCGCCTGCCTACTGAAATCGAAGTCACCACTCCCTAAGGCCACCTTTCATGTGACCTTCCCCTATCCCTATTATCCAAGGGCTGACACAGTGAGCCCTGTTGACAAATTGAATTGAGAACTCATGCTAGCGGTTACATGTTTTCAGGAATCACACAACGTAGATGCAAATGCATTTTAGAAGTTGCCTTAGAATTTAGAATTAGTTCTTATTAGTTGACTAGAACACAAACAAACAACATTTGAAGTATTGAGAAACAGTATATTAAATTTTGTGTTTAATCTATGATGATAACAACTCATCACATGCATAAAAAAGGTTAACAGCTGATACAAAAATGATTATCTAGGCAAAAACAATGTTTTGCATGGTGCCTTTTTGCCTACATTAAGATGGGGATCTTGTAAGGTGCCTACCCTACATATTAAAATTGTACTAAATAGGACTGATCTGACGATTTGCATTCCTACAGCATCCTGGTCATCAGGAACAAGCAAATAGGTGTGAAGGCTTCTTTAACGAATTGATGTCGAACAACAGTGATTAATTTTAGTGAATACAGAAACAAATTACTAAAATGATACCATACCTATGACAGTATATTGTAGTTAGACATTGTAAAATACACTAATAAAAATTGTTAGCTAACTTATTAAGAAAACAAAACTCAAAATAAGAGTTCAATTGATTTTTCTTGGTTTTTGAAAAATATCTAGTACAAAAATCATGCCGTGAGATATGGAACGATGCTTGTGGTTTGAGCTCAGGCAGCTGTAGTTTTCAGCAGGCTAAGCAGCACACTGCATTCTTAGAATGGAAATGAGAGATACCTTGGAAAATGTCATCTATACCATTTAGTTCCGCAGCGTCATCTGGATGGTCCTGGTCAGCATAAGTGCTATCCCGAAATGAACTGCATGAAGAGAGCAAACTGGAAACAAAACAGAGCCATTTAATAGTAAAGAAGCCAAAACGTCGTGGAACAGATAAGTAATCGCAAAAAAGAAAGAGACCATACCTAGTACGCTTGGGAGGAGCTGGGGGCTGTTTCCCTCTTTTGTTGGTTGGCCGCCTCATCTGCACCATACTATTTTTTCCTCCTCCAAATGTGCTCAATTTTCCAAGGGACGCATCTAAAATTTGAAGGATAACTGTTAGTTAAAACTGCTACAATTTGTATCGCTGATTGACAGTTGTTATGTTCAGAAAGAAACCCACCTGAGGATGCAGCCTGATCAGCCAATGCTACAAGGCCATGAATATTGCCGGTTGACCCTGCATGAGGCTTTTTGTATGACATTAAAGGAGTATTACAACTACCAGCCGCGCCTTGCAGCTCTTTTTCAACCTCTGCGAACAAACCAATCACATAAATTAATAAATGGACAATAACTTAGAAAACACTTAGAAAAAAATGGTGCAAATAAATAATACCTTCTATAATACTGGATTCAGGTGGAAACATATTTTCAAGGGCATGATGGATTTCTTGGAATGTGGGTCTTTCTCCAGGAACCCATTGCCAACATTCCCTCATTAACTCGTAAATCTTAGGGGGACACCCAGGAGGGCATTCCATTCTGCAAAATTTACAGTCAATGTGAGCATTGAAGTTAAGCACAGGTGGAAAAGCTGGATATGGTACAAATAAAATCACCAATACCTGTATCCTTTTTCTAACATATGGTAAACATCAGTGAGATCAACACCAGGGTACGGGGACATTCCATAAGTAGCTATTTCCCACAACAAGATACCAAAGGCCCACACATCAGACTGTAAAATTAATGAAAAAAATAGATTAAAATTGTGTGAAACAACAAATTTAAGGGACAAGCTAACCATTAATTTGATTGTACCTTAGTTGAAAATTTGTTGTAGGCTAATCCTTCAGGGGCAGTCCACTTAATAGGAAACTTCGCCCCAGCATGAGCTGTATAAGTGTCATCTCGCATGAGTCTTGCAAGGCCAAAATCAGCAACTTTAACAAGATGGTTTTCTCCTACTAAACAATTTCTTGCTGCCAGATCCCTAGAAGAGATACAAAATAAAACCATGTTATTTGTAAGTTTTGTTTTGGCTGAGAGATACTAAAAATATAAAGTAACATACCTGTGAATGAAAGACCTGCTCTCCAAATAACTCATACCACTGGCAATTTGAGTAGCCATGTACATAAGAACGACAGCATTGATTTGATCCTTGTTACCATTCCTTAAGTAGTCCAATAAATTGCCTTTACTCATGAATTCTGTTATAATATAAAATGGTGGTTCCCTAGTGCATACACCTGCAGAGGAAATTATTTAGATTATTCAGTCTGGTCAAGAAGTAGAAAGTCCAAAGAACATAGCATTGAGAATGAACTTGCCCAACAGCTGAACAAGATTGGGGTGTTTCATTTCTTTCATAATTGAAGCCTCTTCTAAGAAGTCTTTTAGTGCCATTGTGTCTTCTTTCAATGTCTTCACTGCTACAGTCATGTTGTGACGCTTCCAAACAGCCTCATAGACATCACCATATTGGCCGCCACCTAACTTGTGCCTCATAACAATATCTGTCCTGTTGATTTCCCACTCATCTGGCTCTGAAAAAGATTGAAAACAATACAACTGATTAGTAATTATACCAGGCAACACGACATAAAATTTAACTAGTTTACATGCGTTTAATACATGTTGAAGATTCAAAGATTAGTAAGGAAAACATGAGAAAACAATAACTTTTGTTTACAAACATAGTTAGTAAACCAGAGAGTACAATTTTTGCACACTCAGCCTACAGAGTAATTCAAAGCAGGTTACAATATTGTTTTAGTTATTATTGCAGAAAGCAAGTCAGTGTTTTCTCACACTGATTAAAACATAGTGTAAGCGTCGTTAGAAAATATTAGCAAAGGTCCCTGAGTAACTGATAGTTAGCTATCACAAAACGCTTTGTTAGCTATCAATACAGCAAGCTTCTATCACACTTCATCATGAAGATCATTTATGATAGGAAGAATAGCTGCCTGACACTAAAGCAAGTGATGCCATGATGTGAAAAAAAGAGACAAAAATAATCTGGGTGTAGTTATGTTAATTGTTATCAAAACCAAGAAATCAAAGAAAATAACGGAAAAAAATGTGAGGTGTTCAATTATGACAATCCTGGGAAAGAAGTGAATTAAGTGAGTGACAAATAATATCATGCTGCCAGTGAAGCAGGCACACAATTTCCATGTTGAACCAAAAGCTCAGCATGTGGTCAAGTCCTTCACCCTCAACCTTCAAAGAGCTCTGTTCAAACTGAACGAGAGAACCAAATATGGGCTGAGAGCAGAGCAGAAGGAAGAAACAAGACCAAAACGGAAAATAAACACAGGTTTATGACATGAGCTGGCAAATGCAAGCAGTGGTGAGTATCCACAGAACGGAAAAACCTTGTCACTCCACTCGCTCATTTAGACTAACTTGTCGACGCAAATGCCAGAAGGAACGCTGTGAGGGCTGAGATCGAGGGTGTGTTGTGTTGATGATGTTGAGGACTGTGGTTTGAGTTCCCACCTGGGCTGAGGGCGAACACGGTCGGCTTGTTGTGCTTGGGCGCAGGGTACAGCAGCTGGGTGATGAGTCCGTCGGAATGCATGGAGTGGTGGTGGACCAGTTCGGCCAGGGTGTTGAATTTGCTCTCAGTCGTGACGTAAACCTGAAACAACACAATTTGAAAGATTATTAGCAGGGTCCTCAAGGGCATACTGGCGTAAACTGGGGTAATATGAAGCACATGATCTTAATGTGGAGAAAATTCTGGTTTCACTTGACCCTTCCCAGTTGAACTTCACGTTGAAAAACTGTATCGTCACGAAAACTGCACGTGCTTTAGTAGTAGCCCCTTAGTGACCAAACTAAGTGGGATTTAAGTAAGTGAGTCTCAAGTTACTCCAAAATTGTCTCAAGTTACCCCCTAAAATGGTCCCAATTTATCCAAAAATTGTTTCAATTTACCCTAAAACTGTCTCAATAATTGTCTTAATTTACCCTACAACTATCTCATGAAATCTCAGTTGACGGCAAATTTTCGAAATAGAAGAAACAAAGCAAAAGAAATCTACAAAAAGAAAAAGGACAAAAAAAAATTATTAACCAAGAATTGCCGGATTCCACGCCACGTCCACGCTCAGCTCACCTTGCCCTCGGTGTCCTCGTTGATGCGGTAGTGGTACACGCGGCCCTCGTAGCGGAGCGAGATGCTGCGCTGGCCGGGCGAGCTCTCCGACTCCCGCACCAGGAAGCTGCCGTTGATGCCCGAGCTGAGCAGGTACTCGGCCGCGTTGCGGGAGATGGGGCCGTGGTACCAGGAGTGCTTCTCCAGCGAGTTGACGGGCGTCACGTAGTTGGACGGCACCCAGCCCACCTGGCCCGCCGAGTGCGCCTCGCACCAGTCGCCGTTCTTGTTGTAGCTCAGGATGCGCACCTGTTCGCCTGTAAGCAGAGAAGCATCGCGTTCACAAAGGGCTCTCGCAGTCAAGGGGAAATAACTCCAGCCAAATGTGTACACCTAAATTCATCAAACATGTACAGTTCATCGAAATTCGACTGAAATTCATCGAAATTTGACTAAAATTCATCGGATTTGTACACCGAAATTCACAGTGCTCACAGTGCTCCCCTTGCTCAGATCGCAACGAATTCATTTTAACCCACAAAACTAAGACCGTCACGGTCAGGCGCGGATCCAGAATGGGGGAAGGGGAAGGGGCGCTCGGGGGGAGGATTGCCCTCTGCGCCTCAGCTGGGGTCCTAAAGCCTTTAGGACTCTACTCTGGGGGTGCTGAATCAATTTTAAAGCTTGCACCAAAAAATGTCAACCACTCTTAGTCCCAGCGAGGGATCCTCCCTCCTAGGGTGGAAATGGAAAGATGTTCTTCCTTCACGTCAAAATAATTAATATAAAAATAACAATTAGGCATTACTGCCAAAACCGGCGTAAAGGTAAAGCTTGAATCAAAAATATTGCCTTTATCGGAACTGATGCAAAAGTCACAAGAATTTCCATTCTAAATTCAATTGTAGTCACTCCGTAGTCCCAGCCTGAGATTCAAATCAGCTAGGACAGAAAGAGGGAGGAACAATGATCATCTCCTCTCCGTTTCTACCGCAAATGGTCATGAAAACTATTTGCGGCTCTTTCAGAGAGTTGATCCAATTACAAAGCTTGCGGTAAAAATGTCAACCACTCTTAGTCCCAGCATGTGACACTCACATCTAGGGTGGAAATGGAAAGATGATCTCCCTTCACGTCAAAATAATTATTATAAAAATAACCATTGGGCATTGCTGCCAAAACAGACGTAAAGGTAAAGCTCGAATAAAAAAAGTATTGCCTTTGTTACTTCACATGTAGGTACACTCTATTGTCCCAGCCTGACGTTTGAGCCAGCAAGGGTGAAGTGAGAAAGAACCTATGATCATCTCCTCTCCGTTTCTACCACAAATTGTTATGGAAACTATTTGTGGCTCTTTCAGAGAGTGCTGAACCAATTTTAAAACTTGAACGAAATAATGTCAACCACTCTTAGTCCCAGCGTGTGACACTCACACCTAGGGTGGAAATGGAAAGATGTTCTCCCTTCACGTCAAAATAATAATTATAAAAATAACCATGACGCATTGCTGCCAAAACTGACGTTAAGGTAAAGTTTGAAATAATGCCACTCCTACTTCATATGTAGTAACTCGACAGTCCTAGCCTGACATTTGAGCCAGCTATGGTGGAATGGAGGAGAAACCATGATCATCTCCTCTCCATTTCTACCGCAAATTGTCATGAAAACTATTTGAGGCTCTTTCAGAGAGTGCTAAACCAATTTTCAAACTTGCACTAAATATGTCAACCACTCTTAGTCCCAGCGAGTGACACTCACACCTAGGGTGGAAATGGAAAGATGTTCTTCCTTTACATCAAAAATGGTTATAAAAATAACCATAAGGCATTGCTGCCGAAACTGATGTAAAGGTTTTCATAAAAATTGCCATTGTCAATGCATGTATAGGCACTCGTTAGTACCTGACTCCTGCCTCACATTGCTGGGGTGGAGTGAGAGAGAACACAAGCCAGTTTTGTGAGCTTTGCCTATTGCAGGACTTCCCCCAGAGCACCCTTCCATTGGAGCTACGCCACACAGTGGGCCTGAAGACCGGCGCCGGCGGCCTAAACTCCAGACGCGTTATGAGCTCGAGAGTCGATGAACAGGACCCGAATCAAACGTGTGACCCCACCAATGGATTCCTCATTCGGAGAGCAATCCATTGGTGGGGACGCACGTTCGGTTCGAGTCCCATTTAGCGACTCTGGAGCTCAAAACGCGTTCGAGGTTTCGACCGCCTCCACCGGTCCTCTGGCCTACTGTGCCAAAGCCAGTCCGCCTTCTCGGCCTCACCTTTCTTGAGGCTGAGCTGGTTCTCGCCGCCGGCCTGGAAGTCGTAGAGCGCCACGAAGAGCTGCGGGTCCGACTCGTCCTCCTGCGTCAGCAGGTTCTCCTTGGACGTCCATCGCGCCAGGCAGTCCGCCGCCGACGGCCCCGAGGATCCCGACGGCGACCCCGCCGAGCCGCCCACGCCGCCCACGCCAGACCCGGGGCCGGGAGGGTCGCCCGTCGGCAGCGCCGGGATGTGCGGCAGCGGCCGACTCTGCAGCAGGGCCTCTGCAACACATGAAGGGAAGCGACCGTCAGGACAACGCTCTGCAACGCTCTGCACCGCTCTACACCGCGCTCGACTGCACTCTGTACGAGGGGGAACAGATTCCCACATTATTCATTGTACAAAATTTGACCACACTGCACATTCAGGTGGCCTGATAGTAGGCAATGTGCGTGGCAAAAACGCCAGTAATCATGAACATTCTTGCACATTTACACAATCATTGTACACAAAATTTTACAGTGGGTCACCCCTCGACTCTGTAACAGCACGCCCTGCAACGCTCGGCTACGTTCTGCAACGCACCACGAGCGGATCCAGAAGGGGGACAGGACCATTGACCCTTTCTTGGGTCCTAGATGGCCTGAAAGGTAGGCAGATGCCACACTCCGGCACTGTAAGTGCTCCCCTTTCTTGAACTGGCTGAGGCTCCGCCACTGCCACGCTCACGCTCTGGTCGCGCAACTTGACTGCAAGACCGGCGCGGGAATTCCAGCGGAACCCATCGTACGGCGCGCGGCCTGGCGGCGTGGCCCACACCTGCCGTATCCGAGTTTTCGTTTCCGTTTCCCGGCATCTCGCCGGCAGCACACAAGTTGAATGTGCCGCGGAAGTGGAGGGCGCACAGTGGGCCAGAAGACCGGTGGAGGCGGCCAAAGCTCTACACGCGTTTTGAGCTCCGGAGTCGCTAAGCAGGACTCGAACCGACCGTGTGACCCCACCAATGGATTGCTCGTTCGGAGAGCAGTTCATTGGTGGGGTCACACGCTCGGTTCGAGTCCTGTTTAGTGACTCTGGTGGACGAAACGCGTTTAGACTGCTTGGCCGCCTCCACCGGTCTTCTGGCCCACTGCGGGGCGGGGTGCAGCGTGCAGCGGGCGGGGCGGGGCGAGGCGCGGTGCACTGTGCACGGCCTGGCCCTCGCCGTGGCCAGCAGGCTGATGCCGAGCACGCTCGCTGTCTCTCTCGCACGGGACGAGCCGTGAGTGGGGGGGGGGGAGAGAGAGAGAGAGAGAGAGAGGGGAGAGAGAGGGGAGAGAGAGAGAGAGAGAGAGAGAGGGAGAGAGAGGGAGAGAGGGGAGAGAGAGGAGAGAGAGAGAGAGAGAGAGAGGGGGAGAGAGAGAGGAGAGAGGAGAGAGAGAGGAGAGAGAGAGGGGAGAGAGAGAGAGAGAGAGAGAGAGGGGAGAGAGAGAGAGAGAGAGAGAGAGAGAGAGAGACGGCAGGCTTGCTCCAGGCCATCGATCGCCAAAGCGCCGGCCCGGGTCTCGCCCTGGGCTCGGCCGCCGCGAGCGCGCCACCCCCCCCGCCGGCCCCGCCAAGGGGGCGAAAGCGCCGGCCCCAGCCCCGCCACGCCACGCCGCGGTCCTCGAGTGTAACCCACCCTGGCCCACTGCGGGCGCGAAGCAGCGAACGGACCACCACCGCGTCCGCCCGGCCCTGTAAAGTTCTGACCCACAGGCAGATACTTTTGCAGAATAGAAGTACGGTACAGAAAAAGTGTAGAACACGCTAAGAATTTCTTTCGATACTTCGACGGGAGCAATGAGGAAGTCTGGCCAACAGTTTGCCTGGACTTGCCGACAACGGAACCGCCATGAACCTGCTTTCTACAGCGGAGGGAAGTCCCCGTGTTCCCTAATTTTTTCCGCGCTTTCGTTCTCTGGAGTATGCAGTCTCGACACTTCAAGTGTGGAGTTGGAGTTCGCACCATGCCCTGATGCAGGACCTCTGTGAGCGACTCCACCCACACTTCAAGTAAGGGGACCGCGAACTCTGCAAAGTCCACACCTCCGCATTCCAAGTAACGGGGTTCTCATGTTCACCGTGCATTCCTCTGTTACATTTCCCGTACAGAATTTTAATTATATTTTTTTTTTCACAGTGCGGCGCGCTGCCTGCAGGAAAGAAAACAGCACACACCATTCCTGCGGCGCAGGTGCTGCTGCAGCTGGAGGTGCTGCAGCGGGTGCACGATGACGGGCCGGTGCTGAGGGTGGCCGTGCAGGCCGTGCAGGCCGCGGTGCTGCTGCTGGTGCGCGTCCGCCTGCTCCGACTTGGCGCTCTTCTTGACGCGGATGCGGAGCCCCGCGCACATCAGCTCCAGGTGGGTCAACATGGCGGCCGCCTCACGCCGGCATCACTCTGTAGTGTGAGGGAGGGCGTTAGCACGACCGTGGTCGCGGACGGGGCGTGGTGATACGGTGGTGGTGAAACCAAAAAGCGTGCCGTCGTGGTGATCATCATCCATCATCATCCATCATCATCCATCATCATCCATCATCCATCATCAATAATCCATCATCATCATCATCATCATCATCTGCGCGGTTTGACGACGGTGACTTCCCTTCAAATATGTTTCCTCTCTAATGCTCTCTAATCTCTCACAACCACTTTCAGATTGAGACACTGTGGTGATGGCTTGAAGCCAGTGGCGCGTCAAGGGTGGAAGCCGCGGGCTTCCCAGTCTAGATATTACGTAACGCACTGCCCGAGTGGGTCAGGCTGGACTCAAAGCATCGTCCCTAGGTGACGTTCATAACGAAATCTCCAAATGGGCGGGCCCGTTTGGAGAAGGACCAAAATGCCCCCTTCATCCGCGCAAGCAGGCAAAAAGTGCCATTTTGCCGTCCTCTCCTTCAGGCCGGCCCTGGATCCGCCACTGCAGCCTCAGTTACATACACTGCAATGGCAACGACTTGACATGGTGCTTCTCACTGAACGACCCCCCGCGGTCCTCACAGAGCCGCCGGACTGACTGGCCATGTGCATGGATGCTCGCTCCTCGCGCTCATCAAGACGAGCCTGACGGCGGCCGGGCTGCTGCGACCAGCAAACTGATTCCGAGAGTCGCCTTCGTCGCTCTGTCTCTCTCGCACTCGTGGGACGTCCCGTATGGGTGCGAGAGAGACAAAGAGACGACGACGACTTCCAGAATCAGACTACAAGGCGGCAGCCAGATACCATCGGCCGTTTTAACGACTCGGGGGCATTAAGTGGGAACCGCAGGACGCAGCACAGTGGGCCAGAAGACCGGTGGAGGCGGCCAAAACTCCAGACGCGTTTTGAGCTCCAGAGTCGCTGAATTGGACTCGAACCGACCGTGTTACCCCACCAATGGATTCCTCGTTCGAAGAGCAATCCATTGGTGGGGTCACACGCTCGGTTCGAGTCCCACTTAGCGACTCTTGAGCTCAAAACGCGTCTGGAGTTTTGGCCGCCTCCACCGGTCTTCTGGCCCACTGTTCGCAGGACTCTCGGCGGCGCCGTCGCTCCGTCTCTCTCGCTCTCATGAGGCGCGCCGTAGAGGTGCGAGAGAGACAGAGCGAGGCACCGCGGTTCGGCCTACCTGGACTCCCAAAGATAAAGCGCGCCCAGTCGGCCCACTCCCATGCCCACCAATTAGGCTTGGATGTATTTCCTCTGCGATCCCGCCACGCGACTGTGACGCAACCACCGCGCTATTTTTGTCAAAACAGCAACAAAAAAAAATGAAAAAAAATGAAAGAAAACAAAAAAGTTTGCGGAGAACATACACTGCTTTAAGTCCTAGCAAGTGACATTCACAGCAAGGGTGGTAATAAGCACCCCGTTGAAGAATTGAAAAATTAAAAAAAATTGTCATCCACTCTTAGTCCCAGCGAGTGACACTCACACCTAGGGTGGAAATGGAAAGATGCTCTCCCTTCACGTCAAAAAATGGTTATAAAAAGTAACCATTAGACATTGCTGCCTGCAATGATGTGAAGGCAAATATTGCCATTGATATTTCGTATTGTAGGTACACTCCTCAGTCCCAGACTGACGTTTGAGCCAGCTAGGGTGGAGTGAAGGAGAAACCGTGATCATCTCCTCTCCGTTTCTACCGCAAATGGTCATGGAAACTATATTTGCGGCTCTTTCAGAGAGTGCTGATCCAATCTTTAAACTTGCACGAAAAAATGTCAACCACTCTTAGTCCCAGCGAGGGACTTAAACTTTCAGGCCCGTCCCGGCCGCGCCAATCTTGCTGAGCGCAAACCAGTACGTCCTTACTAAGAGCGACCCCATTGCCGGCGGACCGGGACTGAGCGCCCACAGCGTCCGACCCCCGTCGGCTACTCGACCCTTAGTGCTGTGTCCCACAGCCTACCGGTGAATAACTGTATGGTGTTAGCCACCGGTAGCCCTATCCACCAGACACCAGGGCGTGTGAGTCTCCGGGGGCACGACCGGGTCAGGGGCAGGTCTTCTTCGCCCCCGTGAAGGGACATCCAAGCGAGGGATCCTCCCATCTGGGGTGGAAATGGAAAGTTGCTCTCCCTCCACGTCAAAAAAATGGTTATAAAAATAACCATTTGCGCATTGCTGCGTAGACTGATGAGGTACCTGCTATATCACAAATATTGTCATTCTAAATTGCATTGTGAGTACTTCTTAGTCCCAGTCTGACATTTGAGCCAGCTAGGGTGGAGTGAGAGAGGAACCTGTTATCTCCTCTCCGTTTCTACCGCGAATTGCCATGGAAGCTATTTGCGGCTCTTTCAGAGAGTGTTGGCTGATCCAATTTAAATAGACTTGCACGAAATAATGTCAACCACTCTTAGTCCCAGCGTGTGACACTCACACCTAGGGTGGAAATGGAAAGATGCTCTCCCTTCACGTCAAGAAAATGGTCATAGAAATGACCATTATGCATTGCTGCCTGACCTGACACAAAGGTATGGCTTAAGTCACAGATATTATCGAACAAAATCGAAAATTAAACAATAATCGCAGGGAAAATATTTTGAAAATTCCCATGTAGCTAGGGCAATTGATGAGCAGAAACAGGCATCACCGGATCTTGTGCATGCCGATTCACTCTGCATACACCTGCTCCCATCGGCATTGCCTTTGGTATGCCCGTGGTTGCACGTGCCTGCATGTGGCTGCAGGTGCACTGGCAGAGTCCTGCTAGGACGCGCGGTGCCGCCACTCCACTGGACAGCGCGGCACACATCTGCATTACATACAGCTGCCGGGCGACACGGACACACGGCCGCGCCACGAGTCAAGAGTGCGTGGTACAAGCTCGGCACGCCTAGAGCACTCCAGTGCAGAGTGGGCTAGAAGACCGGCGCAGGCGGCTGAAACTCTAGATGCATTTTGAGCTCCAGAGTCGGTAAGCAGGAGTTGAACCGATCGTGTGACCCCACCAATGGATTCCTCGTTCGAAGAGTAATCCATTGGTGGGGTCACACGAGCGGTTCGAGGCCTGTTGAGCGGACTCTGGAGCTCAAAAACGCTTCTTGAGTTTCGGTCACCTGCGCCGGTCCTCTGACCCACTGTGCAGAGTGCCCCGCATACGTGCGAGAGTGTGACGGAGCGACGAAAACGACTCTCGGAATCAGTCTGCTGCCGCGGCGCGGTCGCCGCCTAACGGCAGCGCGGCCTGCGTGTCGCACCGGAAGCGGGCCGAACGGTGCTAATTGCAGTGCAGGCACCGTTTAGACAAAAGGCACGGCAGGCATGCCCGCCAGATATGACATCGCGCGCCGCGGATCAACCACGTCCAAGCACACGGCAAACAAAAAAAAACAACCAACAAAAAGACCCCTATAAAACAAAACAACAAAGAAACCTCACGGTAAAATCGGTTTCTGGTTTTTCCAGGTGGCCACATGGACGATTTGCAGGGAGTTCCTGGGAAAACCAGGAACCGTTTCAACCGTCTGACTGACGCACGCTTATTTTTTCGTGTGTTGATTTTTTAAAGAAAAGGCATCATCTGCTAAAAATGTAACAATTGTGCCCAAATTTTAGCTGCGGCCAAACAATGATACTACACTAGACCGAGGGGGCAACCACCCGAGAAATCTTGTGTCCACTTGAGCGCCCAAAATCTCTGAAAATTTGATATCTTCCCTAAAAAAGGAAACTTTAGGTGTAAAATTGGTCGAAATCTTGCGAAATCCAATGAAATCAGTTGCCTAAAGAAATCTTGTATCCCAAAATATTAAAAATGGTGGGCCCCTCGCACTAGACTCTAATATGACTAAAGTCACTACTTCGCCCTTCAAGTACTATAGGCAACAAGCATACTGCCCCCCCCCCCCCCCCTTTTTCTCCTCGAGTGAATCCTGGATGGCGTGGCTACCGGTCTCTCCGTTCCGAGTTCCGCAAAGGCTGCCCGCGGCCCTCGTCACTCACAGTGCGGCAGTCACACTCGCGGCAAGGTCGCCCGGACCGCCGCCACTTTCTCCCCGGAGGACGCGAGCGGAAACACGGATCGGAATACTAAAATGGCCGCCGCGGGAAAAAGACTAAAAATAAAACGTAAAAACGGAAATCGCCACTTGTCGCCGTCGCCTGCTGTGCCACTTCCACAGCGCACGACGTCCAAAAGCAAAATGAACAACGAGTTAAAAACAAACAATTTTATAGTGCCAATCAGTGTCGCAACAAAATTTCGAAATAAAATCGCAACCCTTGCCAGTGTGAAACTTTTCTGTGCAACGACGCAAATTTTCCTCCAAATAAACTGACATGCAATTTTTTTCAGGGATTTTCAAATGTCTCCACAGGCAAATACGTAGGTAAATTGTCACAGGAACAGGTCTCCCATTGGTTTGCAATTCATTTAATTTTAGTTTTTTGTTCCGTGTTCTTTTGCTTTTGTTTCTTTTTTGCAGAGTATGCGGTGGTGCGGCGCGCGACAGCGGCCGGCTGCATCCTTCCGACTGACCCGCGCGTCAACCGCCGCGCTGCCGTGCAACGGCACAGCGGCGCGCTGCGGACTGATTCCGAGAGTCGTTTTCGTCGCTCCGTCTCTCTCGAACTGAGGGGGCGTCCCGTACAGGTGCGAGAGAGACAGAGCGACGAAAACGAATCTCTCGGAGCGCGGTGCTTCCACACGCGTCCGAACAGGTTCCTTGATCCGATAAAGCGAGACAGACGGATACGCACTCGCGGGGCAGTTTGTCGCGGGGCGGACGACGGCACGCGGACACTACACTCTAAGACTACAGTTTCATTCGTACACTGTGAAACTTTGGACCGTCGCTTGAAGACAATTTATTCGGAGCTCAGTCTTCTCACAAGAACGTCATCAAACAAGTGGATGACACGCAGTTGTCACTGTCACACCCATGCACCAAGTATACGAGCTCTGATTAAAATGT